AAACTGCAAGTTACTTCTGGCTGACACCAAGAGAAGCACATCTCAGGACACGCAGCTAAGTTTGGCACCGCATGTCTACTGATAATGAGCAGAGCTGACAGAAGGCTGATTCTGTGACCCCGAACTTTGTGAACGGTCCAGCCACTCCTCTGCCTCCCTGGCCCTCCTAGCCCTACGTCTGGACTCGCGCTCATTATGCCTGTCCTTCAGTTTACGCAGCTGCGTGCCTGCATCATCTCCAGGGGTCGGGATGAATTTGCAAGGCTTCGATGCTGTATTGACGCTGGGGGGTGGAGGAAAACCCGGAGGCTGTGGGCCAACGCTTGCAGTTGGAGGAACATTCGAAGGCGGTGGGCCGCAGCTCTTCTTTGGAGGCGCCCCAGGCCCAGGACCTACAAATCCTGGTGGAGGGAAAGGCGGGGGCCTAGGTACCTTCAGCGCTGCATATTTCTGACTCTTCGCATTTTTCTCCATGATAGCATTCAGCCGCATCGCAGATGCAAGTGTGTCCTCGACCTCCATGGCTGCAATTTCAGCTATTATCCTCGTCTCCTCGAAGTGATTCCACAAACGGGGATCCCTGGACTTCACAGCAGGCTGCGACTCCAGTGTCTCGAACTCCCTTGTCAAGTAGATCTTCATGGGCCTGGCTTTGGCGAGCGGGGTGAGGACAGTCTCTGCCTCGGTAACTTCGGGATCAGCCTTGCAGCCAGCCTTGGACTGATCGCCCTGGGCATCTGCACCAGTCTGACCATAAGCATGCCACTCGCCGTTGATCTCTGCAGTGTTCTTGGAAACAGACCAGGCAGCACCCAGGCCACTCGAAGAAGCAGCCATCTTTCCATTGCCATAGTCAACCATGTTTGCTCCCCAACATGATTCTGAACCTGACCACTGCCAGCTGCTATCCCAGCCAAACCAATTGTCTGCATATCCAGACCGCCACCATGCGGTGTCAGAGGACCACATTATGACATCTTGTCAGGGACACAAGACTTTGAGCCAGAGTGGCGACACAGAAACACAAAGTTCAAACGCGTGGGGCTTGCATGGGATCCAGCACAAGTCGATGTCCTGAAAATCATAGCCGACATCCGCCGGTTTCCCAGGAATCCCGCGCAAGTCCTGTATGATCCAAGGATCCAGCACAAGTCAATGGTCTGGGGAGGGGGGGTGGACTTCCGCCGAGGGTGGCGCCCTACTGTAGAGATCCGCGGGATTCCCAGGAAGCCCGCGCATCTTGGCATGAGGAAAACAAGATCTGAGATCTGCCGCGAGGCCTGATTTGGGGATCGAGCAAATAATTTGCCCAGGTTGCTTGGATGGGCGGAGATGTGCCGGTTTCCCAGGAAACCAGCACAGCTAGCAATCTTGCCGACTTATGTGTTGGAGTGGTGCAACGTTTGAGGGGAAAGGTGGCCCAAAAGAGGTAGCATCATACATTTAATTTGGAAGGGTTGCTAGGCAAGTCGCTGTCTGTGCCGGTTTCACAGGAAACCAGCACAGTGTAGCAACCCTACCTAATAAATTGTTGCATGGTGATGAAAATCCAGCACAGCTAGCAACCCTACCGAATTAATTTCCGGTGTGGTGGTCTGAGAAAGCTGAAAATCCAGCACAGCTAGCAACCCTGCCAAAATAAATTTCTCAGGTGGCCTCAGGTTGGGGCGCAATAGTACTATCATTGATGTCCAAAGCTGCTCCAAGAGGTGGCCCTCCCCAATCGGCGAGCAAGACAGTTCCGAACAATATGCTATCACCAAGTGGCCCTTTTCTTCTTCCAGTGGCTGAGCTTGGCCATTCAACATGGGCAGAAGGCGCGATGGACTTCGCATCCACGCTTTTTTTTCACACGCCCTAGGAACACTATCTCTTGAAGAATCCTACGCTTGAATGGGCGCCAGCGCTGCTGGCGCCAACTCCATAGAGTAGCTGTGAGCTTCGCCCCCATGCACCAAGCACTCCATTCTTGCCAAGAGAGAGTTCTATGATTTCATGTCTGGCCATTTCGTTTGAACCTGAACCTGAAGATTTGCAAGACTGAGGCTGCTGGTGCAGGCTGCTGGGCCCCAATGGGCCCCGGAAACTTACAAAACTGGCCACATCACGCAACAGAACAATGAGTTGGCATCAAAGCTTCTGCACAATGCGCATGTCATGAGTCTTAAAGAAGTTGCGATGGCCCGTTGCTGCCCAAGCGCGGCACTGCTTGCAGCCGCGAGGGAGCTCGTAGCGGCACTTACTGCAGCCATAACGGAAGCCTGCCGGGAGCTCCAAGGGAAAGGGATTGGGCACTCCATCAGGTAACCCAGGAGCCTCAGGACCCTCTGGGGCAGGCGCAGGGCCAGGGGCAGCAGCCTCTGGGGCCACAGCAGGGCCAGGGGCAGCAGCCTCTGGGGCCACAACACCATCCGCAGGAGCATCCACATTGGGCCTCTTGGCTGGCCTGCGAAGCACTGCGCCTGCTGGGCGCTTCATTGGTGCTGCAGCAGCAGGCGATGCCTTCGCGCCCACTGTAATCTCGCGCACGACCACACCAGCGGACCCATCCAGGATCAGGTTCGAGACTAATTGGTCAGCAGCGCCTGAAGAGGGCATCACATAGTCGAAAATGAAAGAGAGTTCAGGTGGCTCTGGAAGCCGGCATGCCTCACTGTCATCACACAATTTGGTCAGGTAGGACGTTGCCACCAGGAGGTTCCAAGGGTCCTTCTGCGCCAGTGAAGCAGTCTTGCGGTATTCTTTGATGACTGTCTCTCCCAATGGGTTCAGCTTGCACGGCTTCAGATCGCCCTGCAATGGAAAAGGCGTAAGAGGTGGAAACGCAATGGTGGAGAGCATAAGGGTCGAGGGGGCCAGGGGGGTTGGGGGCGAGAGGGGGCGACAGCCCCCTTCCTCACAGAAGAGCCACCTGTGTAAACATCGCCTCGAGACCAAATCGAATGAAGGAATCGAGACCTGGGCTTGAGCCCAGAGCTATGACGCGAAAGCGCAGGGCAGCTTTGAAATAAAGCCCAGCGGCGCAGGATTTTTCCAAAGCCCCAGGACTGGACTGACAAAACTCAAAGTGGATGCAAATTTCGTCTAGGGCACCCTGACTGGGCGCAAGCTTGAAAGCACCCCCCCCCAATCCTTCGAGAGCTTGAGAATCTGGGCCGCTGGGAGCATGAGGACTGGGTTCTGACTGTAATTCGGGCTGTGCATGTAAGTCTTGGTCAGCAAGATAACGTCGGAGCTCTCAGGGGGGAGGTTCTGCCAGTCTGGGTGCTGCACCTCAATTGCGCTCTCCTGGAAGCCAGCCTGGGTGAGAAGCGTTCTGTCCACAAGTCTCCACACATGTGCAGCATCCTCCTTTGACGTGCTCGCAACCTGTAATCTGAATATCCAAAGGGGCCAGGAAGTCCTTGAAGTTCCAGGTGCCGTCCAGAAGCTCTGAATACACATCTCGCCCCCCAGCATGAGGCATGTTGGACTTGATGAAGTCGACGAACTCCTGTGGGGACTCCAGGGTCGGCGCTGAACTCAACCGCGTTGCCAAGGTGCTGAAGCGCTGATCCTGGGGCTTGGCGCAAATTCTACACAACTGAACTAAAACCTCTGAGTTTTGACTCGCGAATCTATTCGCCGGGTGCATTTTGAAGTTGGATCCACGCACCAGGCATCAGCGCTATTAAACCAAGCCACAAATTCATGAGGATAGGCATTGGGAGGTGGATTGGGGCTGACACACGGCCGAAACACATCTCAGCAAACATCGCAATATCTTTGAATTTACTTGGCTGTTATGCTTCCTGGAAAAATTCGCCCATGCATGTCCGATTTCCACCCCCCCAAAGAGTTCCAGGTGCCGTCCAGAAGCTCTGAATACACATCTCGCCCCCCAGCATGAGGCATGTTGGACTTGATGAAGTCGACGAACTCCTGTGGGGACTCCAGGGTCGGCGCTGAACTCAACCGTGTTGCCAAGGTGCTGAAGCGCTGATCCTGGGGCTTGGCGCAAATTCTACACAACTGAACTAAAACCTCTGAGTTTTGACTCGCGAATCTTTTCGCCGGGTGCATTTTGAAGTTGGATCCACGCACCAGGCATCAGCGCTATTAAACCAAGCCACAAATTCATGAGGATAGGCATTGGGAGGTGGATTGGGGCTGACACACGGCCGAAACACATCTCAGCAAACATCGCAATATCTTTGAATTTACTTGGCTGTTATGCTTCCTGGAAAAATTCGCCCATGCATGTCCGATTTCCAACCCCCAAAGCCAAACCACACATACTATACTTCAAAAACAACTTGCAGACATTGTTTTTCGCGGTGAAATGAAACGAAGAGCACCTCGCAAGGCCTCGCCTGGCCCCCTTGTGCTTCTGCCTGGCCACTCATTAAATGCCACTCATGTGGCCCAGAAAAAGCTCGGACAGGCGTTCTGGACGCCACCACTGGTTGTTTCAAAGAAGCGGCCCACCCAAACTTGATATCAGGTTTATAAAGCCAATTTGGGTTCGGGGGGCCATCAGGGTAGCCGTTTGGTTTTTGGGCCCCCCAAATATCATATGGGGCTCCACTTGCACCGAGAACCATGGAGGGTGTCAATGCGACTCCTCATGCGAGGCCCGCGTTCGCAGTTTCCATGTGACAAACCATGGCCAAGGTCCCCCCCCCTGTGTTGTATTACCGAACTGAAGTGAAACCACAAGGCTACCCAGTCTACAACATGGGGCGAACGCTCACCAGAAGGCCCCGAAACATGATCGTGATGCTTTGTGCTCACTCCAAACAAATCGACAGGTGGAGTTCTAGCAGAGGGTACCCAGAGGTAACATATGACAGCCCGCAGGGCCATTGAATTTTCCCGGGGGCGTAAGCAGACTCGGAGCCCACACAAATGCTCGAATAGTACATATGTACAAATTCAGTCCTCTATTCCCGACGCAGTTTCAAACAACCGATGTCCTGCTCATTGTGTGTGTGGCCAGTCCTCATGAACTCGCATTGAACTGTCTGGAACTTCTGTGTGGCCTGCAAGTACCCCAAGAAGCTGAGAAAGTGCTGGTTTTTGCCCTCCCTGGTCGTGTTGTCGCAGGCCACTATGAGAGTGCGAGGCAAAGACTTGCCTGCCGCCTTGCACTTGGCCTCCACAAGCTCGAGGGTCTTTGCAATGACCGTGCACTGCATGTTGCTGTCCTTCGGCCTGTCGGTGTCCATCACCCAGAACCCCTCCAGGTATCCGAAAGCTATAGTACCAACCACATGTAACTGGGGCCTCCAGCACTGCTGCAGGTCTGCCGATGAAGCCTGGGCAGTCAGATGAAATGGCGCTTTCTGCAATCAGGGACTACAATGTGCAAAGGATACAGATGTCTACAACCACACATGCATACGCATATTCATTAGTATTATAGATGTATGCAACACACCAGTATCTCCACACAGTACACACCAACACTGTATATACTAACACGGGCTTACTGGTTCTCATTGTTATGTGTTTCCCCAGTGTACAATGTAATTCGTAACTTAGTTTGGCGAAGGACCCAACCGTATGCAAGTGTGGGTACCGCAGGCAGGTGGGACGAAGGAGGGGGGGACTCCCTATGTGTCCACGAAGCGTGAGGGTGCGCCGAAATTTGTGGCGCGGGCGCATGCGAATTGTACCACTGGGGCATTCGGTCGAAACGCTGTATTGGGTGAGTGGGGGTGGGGGTGGGGGTTGGTTGGGGTGGGGTGGCGGTGGGGTGGGGAAGGGTGGGTTGGTGTGTGTATGTGTGTATGCGTGTGGGTGGGTGGGTGGGTGGGTGGGTGGGTGGGTGGGTGGTGGTGGTGGTGGTGGTGGCAGCGGTGGTGGTGGTGGTGGGTGGGGTGGTTAGTGTGTGTGTGTGTGGGGGGGGGGGGGAGGGGACGCATGCGAACTGCGCCATTGGGACCTCCGGTGGAGCTCCAGATGGGCCCACGAAACGCTGTACTGGGTGGTGGTGGTGGTGGTTTGTGTGTGTGGTGTGTGTGTGTGTTGGTGGTGGTGGTGGTGGTGGTGGTGGTGGTGGTGGTGGTGGTGGTGGTGGTGGTGTGTGTGTGGTGTGTGGTGGTGGTGGTGGTGGTGGTGGTGGTGGTGGTGGTGGTGGTGGTGGTGATGGTTGTGGTGGTGGTGGTGTGTGTGCCTGGATTGGGGGGGAGGTGCAGATGCGAGCAACATAAATGTACATGTATACCGATCAGACAACCCTTCGGGTCTGAAGGAGGTTGGGGGGTGGGGAAGGGGGGAGGCGGTCGATTTGCGATGGCTCTGGGTTCCACTTGGTTTGTTCAACGTTTCTATTTTCGCGCGCATGTGCCCACCTATATATCGATTTATGTACCTATTGACCTGTCAATACAATACACCGACACATACATATATGTATGTATCTAATGTGTTGTAGTATATATTTCCCGATATATATATACATATATACATCTATATCATTATACATGTCCATCTGTCTATCTAATTGCATATATGCGTATGCACATAGACAATAATCCACATAAGTATCGAGTTAGCTATCTAATTAACTACCTAGCTATAGAGGTAATTTTATATAAGTATCGGTATGCGTGTAAGTATTGTCAGTGTGTATATAGGTCCAGCTGTATATCACATTGGAAATGTTTAGCCAACTGGGTACATACAGTTCTATCATCATATACAATTGTGGATCGATGTGTGTTCATATATACATACATGTATATATACGTATACATGTGTATATGTGTATGTATGTATATGCATTTGTATATATCAGATTGTTTATACATCGATCGACATACACGTACCCTTATACATGTATATATACATCGAGTTGTATTTATGTATACACATCTGAACGTATACAAATACAACTATATAACTGTCTATATGTATATCGAGTTACCCATGTATCTATCATATTGTCAATATGTACATATACACAAGTATATTTCAGGGGTGGGAGATGAGTTCGATGTAGCCTTCGAGGTACTCAGGTTGTCAGGTGGTTCACGTGCGCTGATGTACGAAGTTTCCCAGGGGTGGTTTGCTAAGTAGTTTCTGGCTAACAATATTTAGTTCACGCGCGGGGGGAAGCCCCTGGGGGTCCCCAGACGAAAAGTACCCGGGATACATTCGGGGCAGAGGTGGTTTTCCTCCTGGGCGTGGCCTCTCGGGCCCCTCCGATCGCTCCAAGAGGGCCCCAGCTGACCCCCCAGACGGTCCAAGAGGGCTCCAAGTCGTCGAACGATCGGTCAAAGACGCCCAAAGGTGGCCGCCAGAGGGCTCAAGACGCCTTTAAGACCCCCCGAGAGGCCACCGAGAGACCTCCCAAGAGGGCTGCCGGAGGGCCCCCAGAGGCAATAAGTCATTGATTTCCAGTGTGTTTTTTCTTAAAGGGTTTTAGCATTCTTGCATGTTCGGCTTACGCGCGCTCCAGGAGGCGCCCAACATCGCCCCGATACGGTCCAGGATGCCTCCATGAGGGCCTCAAAATGGCCCTACAGGGCCCAAGACAGCATTGGCTCTGGCCATTGGAAGCATATTTTCCGAGCACTGAATGTTCTTTGCAATTCCTTTGAGTCCGTGGAGCATTTTGGGGCCAAACTTTGTCGTGGACAAGACGCCTCTTTGGGAGGCTGCTTGGGGTCTCTTGAGGCTTCTCGGGGGCCTCTTGGTGGTATTCTTGGGACCTCCAGGGTCTCCTTGGGGCCTCTTGGGGCCTCTTGTGGGCCTCTTGGGGGCTTCTTGGGGCCTTCTGGGGACCTCTCGGGGCATGTGCGTTCGGGTCCCCCGTCAGGGCCTGCTCCTAAAGCCATCTTGGGGGCCTCTTGGCCCGCGAATTGTTTGGAATTCTCTAGGAACTGTATTTCTGGGCACTCTGAACTTGGCCTGATCCATCCCATCGATGGTGATCTTCAGCACCTCGGAGCCCTGTGTGCGTGTCGAAGCACTATCATGCTCCGACTGCAAGTTGCCCCTGACATTTATGGCGCGATCTGCTTTGATCTGCGTGATGTGATCCATTTTCTCCTTGATAAGCTGCTGGCGCTCCTCGGTGCTCGAGGCCTTGGACTTCGCCTCGTCCAAGGCAGCACACACTTTGCACCTCTTCCCTTGCCCTGAATTGCGAAACTTCAGCACATTCTTCCAAGATGAATTCCAGACGCTGTACAGGGTGGCCTTGGAAACTTTGTCAACCTTGGCAACGCTAACTTCGTACATCTCCCAGATGTTCTGGAACTTCCCTGGGTTGAGGTAGCGCCTGGGGGCATACCTCTTTGTAGGGTCACCGTCTGGCAAGGCCACCGACAAGCTCCACAAGGGATGACTTGGCGTCTCGATCATTTCATGGAGCTCGTCCACGGAGACCTCCTCAGATGCATCTTCCATAGGGTATGGTTCTCCAAGGTCTTGGTACAACTGCAAGAACCAACTATCAGCCTTCGAACTCTGACATGTCACCCTGGGCGGTGGCATCCTGGGAAGAGCCTCGGGGGGCTTCGTTCCCCCTGCAATGATGTGTTTCCGGAATGTGTCGATGGTCTTGGGGGAGGTGAGGTGGACGTGGGCCCAGAAATTCCTGCAAACGACCTTGCTTTTGAACGTCCACTTGTGGCGCCCCCCCGACAGATTCCCCTGGTCGTCAGTCACCTGAATCTTGATGCACTGGTAGAGCTGCTCTGAGCGGACCTGCTTCTCCATATCTGTCCAGTGCATGCGGGAGTTCTGGACCTGGGGCGCCACTGAAGTCTAGCTCAGAGGCCAATCATATTTGAACCTTTTCGGGCAAACGAGGAAGGTCCATGCTTAGCAATCCAGATCCCCAAAGAAGAACCCTTGATGCTCAAGATTCCAAGCCCTGGCGAATAACTCCCCAGGGTCCAAACATGGATCCAGAAGCGTGGGAAACACAAGGCGCGCTCAGAGGCCAAGAGATCAATCGTTGACCCTGTATTAAGGAATGCTGACCAGAAGCAGAAACCATAGGAAAGCCAAATATTGGGGTGCGATGACTTTTCAAAACATTCCATTACCACAGGTCCATGGGGTGACCATCTGACCATGTGCAGGCATGAGTCGGGCAGAGTACAGGGGGCTCATGGGGGGGGGCCGTCGCAGCCCTTGTCTAAGTAACCCGAGGACACTCACAAACTCGAACTTCTTGTAGCACTCATTCTTGCACTTGCACAGGAACATGCCAGGCTCAGGTTCCTCGTCGCACGGCTGGCACTCCACCCCCATGTCACTCTCTGCCACGCTGCCCGGAAGAGACAAGGTTTCAGCGTCCACCGGGTCACCTGCATGCGCAGCACCACCAGCTTCGCTTTCAACTACAGAAGGGGGGATGTCTGGCTGACTACCATCCTGGAAATTGTCTGACATGGCAGCGCGCTGCCAAGAAACTCCGAGCTCACAAACTTCAGACACCTTTGACCATACAAATGGCTCTGGACAACTGATGGGGCTGTTCCCAATATTCTGGCAAGCTGATCAGGGGCCCACCTGCAGGTTTTCAGAACTGAGACCCCCCCCAAACGAAATCAACAACAGCAACGCACTGAACAAACTTCCTACCGTTCTAATCTCAGCACGAAGTATCAACTAAAAGGGGGTCGCAAACTGAGCCAGCACGGCTGGCTATACTTCTAATCTGTTGAACGACAGGAGCCATGAAACTACATCGGTGCAAATATTAGCTGGTTGCGAGGGCTAGAGAAGCCCAATGTCCATATCAAAAGAAATGTGCTGTCTGCCAACGCGTTGACAACATGCCGCATCTTCGTTTATGCAAGTCCCAGACTCGCCCACAAGGTTGATCACACAGACATGTCACGATAGAATTCTAGGCGCTTCGCGTATCCCACCAGCCCGTCCAGAAATGAGTCCCAGGGAAGTGGAGGTCATGAGGGAAGCGGGGGAGCATGCAGAAGAACAAAGGGCAGGGTGAGCCACCATATACCACAAGAGGGCGAGGATGTAGGAGGAGCCGTCGTCGTCGGAGTAGGAGGAGGAAGAGGAGGAGCAGGAGGAGGAGCAGGAGCAGGAGGGGGGGGAGGAGGAACATGAGGAGGAGGAGATGGAGGACTGCGAGGACGAGGAGGACAAGTTGGAGGAAAAGGATAACGAGGAGGAGGAGGAGGAGGGGGAGGGGGAGGAGGGAGGAGGAAGAAAAAGAGAAGGAGGAGGAGGACAATGGCGAGCTTGGGGGCCTCTTGGGCCGTCTTTGGGGCCTCTTGGCGGTCCCGGCGGCCTCGTGCGTATATCGGGGAGTTTCTTGTGGCCTTTTGGGGGTCTCTTGGGGGCCTCTTGGAGGCATCTTGGGGGCCTCTTGGGGCCTCTTGGGGCCGTCTTGGGGTGCTCTTGGGGCGCTCTTGGGAGCCTTCAGGGCGCTCTTGGGGCCATCTTGGAGGAGATCTATCAAAGAAGGGGGGGTCGTATATTAGCGCTGCCCCTCTAGAGTGTCTCGAATCGCCTCTTGGGCCCTTCTTGAGTCCAAAATCCTTCCAAAACCTAAGGGGAGTCAATGTTTTGTGATTGTTCGCTGTTTCCCTCTTGGAGCCGTCTTGGGCCATCTTGGGAGCCTCTTGGGGCCTGTTGGGGGTCTCTTGGGAGCTTCTTGAAGGCCTCTTGGGGGCCTCTTGGGGCCTCTTGGAGCCCTCTTGGGGCGCTCTTGGGGCGCTTTGGGGAGCCTCCGAGGCGCTCATGGGGCCATCTTTGGAGGAGATCTATCAAAGAAGGGGGGGTCGTATATTAGCGCTGCCCCTCTAGAGTGCCTCGAATCGCCTCTTGGGCCCCCCCAAGAAGCCAAAATCCTTCCAAAACCTAAGGAAAAACAATGCTGTGTGTTTTTTCGCTTGTTCGCTCTTGGAGCCGTCTTGGGCCGTCTTGGGAGCCTCTTGGGGCCTCTTGGGGGTTTCTTGGGAGCTTCTTGAAGGCCTCTTGGGGGCCTCTTGGGGCCTCTTGGGGCCCTCTTGAGGCCCTCTTGGACCGTTCTTGGGATCCTTCGGGGCGCTCTTGGGGCCATCTTGGAGGAGATCTATCACAGAAGGGGGGGTCGTATATTAGCCTTGCCCCTCTAGAGTGCCTCGAATCGCCTCTTGGGTTCCCCCGAGAAGCCACGCTCTTTCCAACACCTAAGGTAAATCAATTTTGTTTCGGGTTTTCGCTGCTTCGCTCTTGGAGCCGTCTTGGGCCACCTTGGACGTCCCAACGACCCGCAGAACCCCTCGTCCAGGTCAATGGGGGAAGGGGGAAGGGGAGGGGTAAACCCCTCCCCGAAGGGAAAGAAGGGGGTTGACAGAGAAAACGCTTTAGACCACCTACGCCCCAAAGGACTGGTGGGATGGTTGACGCTTCGCGAACCCCCACCAGCCCATCCAGAAACGATGCCAAGCGGAATTGCCTGGATCAGGGAAGTAGGCAGCACACAGAGGAAGCCATTATGAGACATCTTGGGATATCGTGAGCCATCTTGGAGGTCATCTTGGGCTGTCCCAGGCGCTCTTCGAGTCATCTTAATCAGTGCTCCCCAAGAGGCCAACATGTGGCTAAAACCTTTTGTGAAATCAATGATTTGGCATTCTCGCCGAGGCCTCTTGGAGCATCTTGGGTGCCTCTGGGGGGTCTCTTGGGGCCTCTTGGGGGTCTCTTGGGGGCCTCCTGGGGGCCTCTTGGGGGCCTCTTGGGGCCATCTTGGGGCCATCCTGGGACCTCTCGGGGCCTCCTGGGCGCTTCTTGGGGTCACCTTGGAGGAGATTGATCAAACAAGAGGGGGGCATTAATTAGCGCCCCCCCCAGGAGGCCAACATGGGGCCAAAACCCTAGTACAACCAATGAGTTTGGCTTCCTCGCCGAGTCCGTTTTGGCATTCTGGCCGAGATCTTGGGTGCCTCTGGGAGGTCCCTTGGGGCCTCTTGGGGGTCTCTTGGGGGCCTCCTGGGGGCCTCTTGGGGGCCTCTTGGTACCTCTTGGGGCCTCCTGGGCGCTTCTTGGGGCCATCTTGGAGGATATCGAGAGCATTAATTAGCGTTCCCCCCCCCCAGGAGGTCAAAATGGGGCCAACGCCCTAGTACAACCAATGATTTTGGCTTCCTCGCCGAGGCCGTTTTGGCATTCTCGCCGAGGCCTCTTGGAGCATCTTGGGTGCCTCTGGGGGGTCTCTTGGGGCCTCTTGGGGGTCTCTTGGGGGCCTCCTGGTGGCCTCTGAGGGGCCTCTTGGGGCCATCTTGGGGCCATCCTGGGACCTCTTGGGGCCATCTTGGAGGAGATCGATCAAACGAGAGGGGGGGATTAATTTTGCATCCCCCCCCAGGAGGCCCAAACTGGGCCAACACCCTAATACAATCAATGATTTTGGTTTCCTCGCCGAGGCCGTTTTGGTATTCTCGCCGAGGCCTTTTGGAGCATCTTGGGTGCCTCTTGGGGGTCTCTTGGGGGCCTCTTTGGGGTCTCTTAGGGGCCTCCTGGGGGCCTCTTGGGGGCCTCTTGGGACCATCTTGGGGCCATCTTGGGACCTCTTGGGGCCTCTTGGGCGCTTCTTGGCAGGCACGCAAGCTTTTTTTTATTGGTTGCCTAATACCCAGAGCGCTTGTGCTCCAGAGCACACTGGGCGAGCTTCTGTACAAAGCTATCCGGGTACCTCTGAGCCCACACAGACCTCTTAACGCCGGCTTCTGCCCCCTCGATCCTCTGGTGCTCATGCGAGCGATCGCAGCGGCACCCACTAAAAGCAGCAACAATAAATCTGCTGTTGGTTAACAGAGTTGTCCTTTTGCGCATTGGCATGCCTGAACCCTTCGAGCGAAGGCCCAGCATGCATTGGTCTAAGGTGACCTTCTGAACTCCAGGCATGCCCTCTACATCCTTTACGCACTGCTGGCTCCAACTGGTGGCGCTTGCAGGGTGCTCGAAACAAAAAAATCCGACCTGCAATCACTTGGGCTTTCGCGCACTCCATGGAGTGCTCTAAAAAGGTCATGCCTTGTTGCCACCTCAAAGCGAATGTCTGTCTGCTCATGTACTTGTAATTCCACAGAGACTGCAGCACAGAGAAAATGGTGCATGGCGGTGAAAGCATCAAAAACATAATGAGCCTAGTAAGTCTGTATGACACCTCCCTCACAGAGGCGATTTCGAAGTC